ACAAGTATCCTTTCGTCTTCATTGAGGATCCCTTCGATGAGAACGATTGGGCGACCTTCGCCAAGTTCACCGCCAAGGACGGTAAGGAGATCCAGATTGTCGGTGATGATCTTCTTGTTACCAACCCCAAGCGTATCCAAAAGGGTATCAACGAGAAGTCTGTGAACGCTCTTCTTCTCAAGGTTAACCAGATAGGTTCAATCACCGAGTCCATCGAGGCCAACAATATGGCCGTTAACGCCGGGTGGACCGTCATGGTTTCCCATCGTTCCGGTGAGACTGAGGATACCTTCATCGCCGATCTTGTCACTGGTCTTGGGACTTGCCAAATCAAGACTGGTGCCCCCTGCCGTACTGAGCGTCTTTGCAAGTACAACCAGCTTATGCGTATTGAGGAGGAGCTCGGTGATAAGGCCACTTACGCTGCTGGCCGCAACTTCCCTCGTTGCCAGTAAATAACATTCATTTGTTACTGTCGTTATTGTCATTCTGGTGATGAATCGATGGATTATGGTAGAAAAGATGCTGCTTTATTCAGCGGTAGTCTGTTACTTTCTTTTCTCATTACGACTGTTCTACACAACAACAATAAGAATCAGTGAATTTCGTGTCACAACGGACACAGATCAGGATTTGTGCTTTTCAATGAAAGGATGGATGGAGCAACATTTGTCATTATTCGCTTAGCGGATTTCGCTGGGATGTGACTTCCAACAGATTCAGGTTGTACGTAAACGTGTCATCTGAGACGGTCTGGGTTTTGGAGGACTCGTCATTTCAGAGCATGGTGCCTCGTTGTCTACGTGTTTTGATAGGGTTTACGTACTTCTTTTTCTTGTTGTTCATGACGGAGCGTAGTATGACACTCAACGGTATGTCATTCGTAAAGACCCACCAAATTCTAGTCACTCAGTCGATCAGCGATCAGTCGCGATGGGGAGGTAAGTAAGTTCGGGATGTGAAATTTCTCAGTCTGTCTCAAAATCGTTACATCATAAAACTTTGAAACCTTGATGGCGCGCTAGTTAAAGATAGTTTTATCCAGTGCCTGTCATGAAATCCTCTAAGGTGTTGGCAACAGTTGGAAAAGTTTTTTGTCTACAGTGGAAAGCAGACTAGGTTGTGAAGATCTCCGCACGCTGATGACTATCATCTTCCGTCTCTGAATTATCAAAATCCAAGTTCAGTTTTGCGGAACGGCGTCATTCTAAGGTGACAGTCAAGGTTTTCCAACGTTGGCGGAGCCTCTGTTGCCCTGTCGAGGTATGGTAATCCTCTATTAATGAGGCAAGCGACTCACTGTGAGTCAAATCAGAATGTCCAGCATACAATGCAGCTATTTTCGGTGGACTGAGGGCGAGCTCTGTGCGGGATACCTCACAGACTTCCGCCCGAGGGGGAAGACCTCCGTGAGAGTCTGGGACGACCGAGTCGCGGCGACTATGAGTAGTCTCTGTCCCCGGAGACTATTTTGTCTGAAGTCCATCTACGCACAGCGATTTCTGGAATGAACCTGTGGGATAGGAATTCTACCCACATGTGTCCGACACTTTATGACAGACTTCGAGCCGGCCATGCGTAACGCATAACTAACGGTATTTGAGGTTGTCGGAGCGGAGATGAGCGGTGATACGAGTTAGTCTACAGTTTAATTGTGGATGTACTGCAGCAGATTTCTTCGTATTCAATGAGGGCGCCTTGCTTGCCTGGTTTATCTGCGCCAAGCCAAGAATGTGGAAAAGCTGGCTAGCTCAGGCTGAGCTGTTCAGCAAAATTGTGATACCGTGCATAAGTGTGATACCATCAGACAAGCCCGTAAGAGACGGTTTTCTTGTTGTTGCGTTCATGACACGAGTTGTAGGCTACGCTTTCACTGGCGATGCGGGGCCGGGACTTTTCCCATGGGGGTGACAAATTGTCTACTTGTTAATAACAAGTTGTTATTGACAAGTAGTTGTTGTTATTGACCATAACTTGTCAACACTATTGGAATACTAAAAGCTCCTATCAGAATCTCGCCTGTCGCTATTCCCTTCGAAACTTACCGTCATTGTCAGGTTGCGGGCCATTCTGCGCGATGCACGTGAAAAGCCCCGACGATTAATAGATGCCCCCGAGTTTTCCGCGCGTCAGTGTGATGGCTCATGAGCGTGGTAAGCAGCTCTGAATATCCGCTCTTCTACTGGGCTTCTATTCGTCCAGCAAGCTCCATCAATCGTCGGCTATCCGGTTCCAGTCAAACCGCGGGTTTCGGTTCCTGAAGCACAATCGTTAAACTGTTTAACAAATGTGTTCCAGCAATCGAGACTTGCCATGTGGCTGGTTCCCGATGGAAGTTCTCCAATCGAGTGCCTCAGGGAACTCGCTCGTTTATCACAAGTGCTAGTTCAGCTCATGAAGGATTCAGTTTTGACTCGAGGCCTTCAGCAGTGTTGGGTTTCTGCGTCATTTGAAGGGAAGGTTCGGCTCGAGCTGAGCCCTCGACCATAGTACTCAATTTTGTGTCGTTATCATCCGATGTTGAGTTATAGCGAATGAAGCAATGGAAGTGACTTAAGAGCTCAGACAAATAGCCTTGTGGGACATCTCATTACCTTCAATGTTGCTGGAGTTGTAGGCTGTCACTTGGATGGGTCCCAACACACGGGATGATAGTTCCAGAGTACGCTACTTTACTGGAGTAACTCTAGTATGTTCTCCGAGTTGCGCCAGAGTATCGAGCTCAGTAAAAAGAGGATGCGAATAGTGGGGTAGTTGGTAACAAATCAGCACGCTCACAAGCGTTTAGTTTTCGAAAAGGATCGGAAATTGAGCGGCCGCTAGAGCACCGGGCAAGTGCATACACCCGCGGCCGCTAGAGCACCGGGCAAGTGCATACACCCGCCTTGTATACTACGCAGTACATAGTAACATAGGGATCACGCTTATGGCAACACCAGCGAACACCTGAGTTGTCTCTGAGTACTACTCAGTAAGTAGTGGGCATCAGCTGATATTTGCTGCCATAAATAAAGAGGATCGACTCCCCTCGAAGGAAAATGTCACCGTTACTTGATTCAAGTAACTTGAAGAATAACTCACATGCTCGATATTTCGGTTGAACTCACATTTTGCAGTCATCATCAGTAGATCATTCCTTCCCAGGATGGGACTTGCCACCCTACTGCTGCAGGCATGTATTGTGTGTGCTGTCTCCCTCGCAGGGGTGGTTTGCTAGAGGTCTCCCTAGTCTGACCTCTGCAGTCTAGAGAGGACTGTTCGTACGTTGGTTGTTTACGACTTTGACCAGCATGTCCCATTGAACTTCAATGGTGGAAGTCGTTATTAGTACTTGTTCGGCAGACTCAGTTGCAACTGCCGTTGATCGTCATGGATCAGAGAGAGAAATGTGTAACCATGAGAGTAATCGAGGACACAATTGAGGCGACTCAACCTTAATCAACTCGGTTGCCTATGGCGCACCGGAGCATCTCAACTCTATTGAATTCCCATAAGCCACATCATCATAGTCAGAATAGTCACAACACTCTTGCCATCTACACATTCGCCGTCGCCGCTTATTAAGCGAGCTAAAGGTTATTGACCTCAGCTGCAGCGGATGTTCGTCCATTCAGCAGCTTCGTATCATCGAATGTTAGAGCATATCATCGTAGTGTTGTATTGTCATTATTACTCATCGCAGTTTCGATTGATATTTCTTCTATTCAATAATAATGTCGACTATTATCTCCATTAAGGCCCGTGAGATCCTCGATTCTCGTGGCAACCCGACCGTTGAGGTTGATCTTACCACTAAGGACGGCATGTTCCGCGCTGCCTGCCCCTCTGGTGCTTCCACTGGCGAGTTCGAGGCTCTTGAGCTCCGTGATGGTGATAAGGCCCGTTATCAGGGTAAGGGTGTTCTCAAGGCTGTCGACAACGTTGAGAAGGTCATTGCCCCCGCTATCATCGGCAAGGACGTTACCGATCAGGCCGGTATTGATAAGTTTATGGTTGAGGAGTTGGACGGTACTCAGAACGAGTGGGGCTGGTGCAAGGCCAAGCTCGGTGCCACGCCATCCTCGCCGTTTCTATGGCTGTCTGCCGTGCCGGTGCTGCCGCCTCGAACATGCCTCT